GAAAGTAAATGTCGATGCCTCGAAAATGATGATAAAATTTTCATGGTTGTTAGTTAAAATCCTGAAAGTATTCAGTCCCCCTAAAGTAAGGTAACGACCCTCCGAACGTAATGACCTCAAACTCGTATATTTAACTAATAATAATTTATTTCAGGTTTTGGCTGTTTGGCTATCCAAGGCATTATGGCATTGTATGGAACAGTGTCGGGACCTCCTGATCCCCTAGATCTCAACACCCTCTCAAAAGGATCCTTTTCCGTCAGCCGACCTTCCTTGTTTCACCACATTGCCAAAGAAGATGATTTGAAATGGCGAAGTTCTGTAGTGTTTGACTGGATTAGGGAGGGCAAAGTCAAGTTTGGTGAATTCACCATACTGCCTTTGTCGGAAGGAAGGAAAGCCTATGAGTTGCTGGAAAGTGGAAAATCTTCAGGAAAAATATTGATCAAACCATAAAGCTACAAATGTATCGTAGCTGTCACTTTCATTAATTTTAGTCTCAGCACTTAGAATGGAAAGAAAATTTAGAATTTTTTTAGGTAAATTAAAACTATTAATGGCTTCTCACCGAGTGCCCTCTCGCTCTCCCATTAGCCAAGCCATATGAAGGAGCCGTCGCGCTATTCTGCCTTTTTTATGGAATATTAGCTTGAATGGGAGTTTTTCTTGTCACATGCTGGGTTCACTCGACTAGTTTATGCCATTAGCTAATTAAATTAGCCGTCTGTCAACACAATTCAATTAAAATGTCAACAGTCAATTACTGTTTGAAGCTGATCATTGTTTTGTCCTTGAACATAAAGTCTGTACTGTGTCATCCATGAGCTGACAGTGGTAGAGCATCTGACTGGTGGGCGGAAGGTCACAGGTTCGACTCCTGTTGGGGGAACTCGGAATTTTTTTCCAAGTACAATGTAGCTTGTGTCTTTGACTGTGATATCTATCTCACTACATTACTTCATTTTACAAATGAGACGACAAGTCATTATCACGGACATGGAAATTTTCTATTTATTGCATGAACTATACTCATTGCAAAAAATATCGCTTCTTACATTGGGCTATTGCATTAAATATCCGTACCCCCCCTGTTGAGGACTTGTCTTTTATTAGGTAGACCCCTCAAGAATTCCTAGAATCAGTTCACCCCTCAAGAATTCCTAGTAAAAGCAGTTTCACCTCTCAAGAATTCCTTGAAAAATCAGTTCACCCCTCAAGAATTCCTAGAAAAAGCAGTTCACCCCCTCAAGAATTCCTTTAAAAAGCAGTTCACCCCTCAAGAATTCCTTGAAAAATCAGTTCACCCCCTCAAGAATTCCTTGAAAAATCAGTTCACCTCAAGAATTCCTAGAAAAATTAATTCCTTCCCCCAGCCTAACCCCTAAAGAATTCCTTTGTTCTGCCAGCGAACCCCAGAAGAATTCCTTCCTTCTGCCAGCCTAACCCTGAATAATTCCGCTGTTCCTCAACAGGGGGGTACGCATATTTAATGCAATAGCCCATTATACAAGAAAAGTAAAGAAAATAAATAACGTTTACTAACTACCCAAAGAAGTTTAAATTACTGTCGTTTCGATCCCTCAACAACGTGGCATTCGATGTAAAAATTTGGAGCTGAAAATTTTATTTACCACAGCGAACGGGGAGGAGTATGGGGAATAGTTTTTGCGTATTACCACTGACAAGGTTGTGAAATGTTTGGCCCAAGAATAGAAATGTCACGCTATATGGTCACGCGTCACGCTATAATTATTTTGTTTTCGGAGATGGAAATTGTTCGAAGTCGCTTTCTTGGTATTGGCGTGGCGTTTTTACGAAATCCTTGCACTGTTAGAAACACTGTTACGATTTTCTATAGAAGTATGTCTATGAAAGCTCTTATACTTGAGGAGTTTGGAGACTCGTCGAAGCTGAAGTTTACTGAGGTGCCAAAGCCAGAACCGGCGGAAGACGAGGTATCAAAAAATTTGTAAAACCTCTGAAAGCGGCCAAATAGCAGATGACTGCATTGTGTTTTGTCACATTTCAAATGTTGTACTACTTATAAATCGATCAACACCCGCACCAGGTATAAATGCATGTGGTTCACTGTGTTTGGGCTCGTCACGCACTCCTGAAAGTCTGCGTAGGAGGCTAATAAGGGATTCTCGAATTTTAATTTTAAGACAAGTGTATGAGTAATCAGTAATTCTGAACTAATGGTCTTCAAATACACGTTATGAAAAGCTAATGCAGATTGTCAAGTATCAGAGCCTCTGGGCCTGAGGCCCGGGGGGGGGTACTCACTTATGTGGCCTATACTCACCGGGGGACGTGCCGCTGGACAGGGTATGGTTTTTGGCCTCACTGCCCAGAACAGGGTATATAATAAGTACCCCCCCCCCCCCCCCCCCAGGGCCTGAGGAAGGGTGCACAACCCCCTGGTTTAAACAACCGTGTATAGTTTTTTGTTTGTTAGAGTTATGTTTGTTTGTTTGTTTTTTGCTTTTGATATGAAAGACTGGGTAGCATAATCCTCAGAAGGGTCACCCCGGCCACCATATCTGTTTCAAAATGCCATGATCCACGGTGGTCCCATAACCTGATGAAATGTTTGTAAAATATTTCTTGAAATGGTTTGTTGTTTGGGAAAGTAGAATTTTTGAAGTATTTTTCTCTCTAGGTTTTAGTGAAAAATGAGATATGTGGTCTGAACTACCTGGATGTTGTCATAAGGAAAGGGTTTATGCCTCTTAGCAGACTGGGATCTCAGTTTCCTATCACTGTGGGTGTCGAGGCCGCTGGGACGGTGGAAAAGCTTGGTGCTAAGGTCGATGGTGTGACTGTTGGGAGAGAGTAGCATTTGTAGTCATTGGATCTGGTGAGTTAGCAAGAGGTTATCAGGCCATCCCAGGGGGTACTCCAGATTTCAAGTGGCGGGGAGGTGCGAAGGATTTTTTGGGGTTTGAAATTCACAATTTCAGGATTTTTTGGAGTAGTTTGATTTTAGTAGGGATTTATTATTTTGTTTTTGTTGCTGTGTTTAGCAACATGAACATTCAATAAATTTGTATTGTTCTTCTTTATTATTATTTACATGTAATCCCTTCTGGGTATTTTTAAGGTTCAACAATTCAGCATGGAATTTTTTGGGGTTTCAAATTGGGTTTGGGAATTTCGTTTCCAGGCCTAGGGATTTTTTAGGTTTTAATTTATGTCCCCATTTACACCTCCCTGCCCAGTCACTTTATTCAGAAATTAATGAATTTTTTTCACAAGCTTCTTTGAAGTTAGCAGATATCTTTCTTTTTTTCATGGCCAGGAGCACATGCTGAGTTCACTAAACTGCTTGCTTCTGAAAGGCTTGTGAAAATCCCAGCTGAAGTCAGTTTTGAGCAGGCAGCTGCAGCCATGATACAAGGCATGACTGCACATTACCTTGTGCACACAACTGGCCGAGTGAAGCCTGGAGACAAGGTGTTGATACATGCAGCAGCTGGGGGGACTGGGTCCCTTGTGTGCCGAGTGGCTAAGAATGCAGGTAACAGTGTTGACCCTATTCTCAAGAGTGTCAAGTTTAAAATTGAAAATAAAATTTAATATTTATCAATTTTCAGGAGCGTTTGTGATTGGAACAACTAGCACCGAGGCCCAAGCAGTAAAAGCGAGGGAGTCTGGGGCAGATGAGGTCATCCTTTACTCACAGAAAGATTTTGTTGAAGAAGTCAACAGGATCACAGATGGGAAAGGAGTGAATGTTATTTATGATGGTATTGGGAAAACAACCTTTGAAAAAGGTATGACAATTAACTGGGCACATAAATTATATATATCTATCTATATAATGACCCCCCCTCCCCCCCTCCAGTAAAGATCCTGTTCCATAGAACTATTTTACTGATGCCTATTGAAGCTTATTGATAAATTAGTACCCTATAAAAGTCCCAAAAGTAAATGTCGACCCCTCGAAAATGATAAAAATTTCATGGTTGTTAGTAAATCTTGAAAGTATTCAGTCCCCCTAAAGTAAGGTAACGACCCTCCGAATGTAATGCCCTCAAACTCGTATTAGCTAAAATTCAGAATAATTTATTTCAGGTTTTGGCTGTTTGGCTATCCAAGGCATTGTGGCATTGTATGGAACAGTGTCGGGACCTCCTGATCCCCTAGATCTCAACACCCTCTCTAAAGGATCCTTTTCCGTCAGCCGACCTTCCTTGTTTCACCACACTGCCAAAGAAGATGATTTGAAATGGCGAAGTTCTGTAGTGTTTGACTGGATTAGGGAGGGCAAAGTCAAGTTTGGTGAATTCACCATACTGCCTTTGTCGGAAGGAAGGAAAGCCTATGAGTTGCTGGAAAGTGGAAAATCTTCAGGAAAAATATTGATCAAACCATAAAGCTACAAATGTATCGTTGCTGTCACTTTCATTAATTTTAGTCTCAGCACTTAGAATGGAAATGAAATTTAGCATTTTTTAGGTAAATTAAAACTATTAATGGCTTCTCACCGAGTGCCCTCTCGCTCTCCCATTAGCCAAGCCACTTGAAGGAGCCGTCACGCTATTCTGCCTTTTTTATGGAATATTAGCTTGAATGGGAGTTTTTCTTGTCACATGCAGGGTTCACTCGACTAGTTTATGTCATTAGCTAATTAAATTAGCCATCTGTCAACACAATTCAATTAAAGGGTCCCTCTCAACCAGTGTGCTTTGCGGCCGCGTGTATTGTTTTCTTCCGGGGAACTCGATCTCTTGTGGGGCTAATGTATGCCATACTTTCCAATTTGTACTAACTTGGGTCGTCTAACTGCTTTTTGTGGCCAGAACAAGGCCAGAATCCTGCAAAAAGTAGTTTTTAACTTCAAGCCGCTATTTTCGCGGCACCCGAAAATGGCCGCCGTAAGAGTATTGGCGCGCAAAGCACACTGGTTGAGAGGGACCCTTTAAAATGTCAACAGTCAATTATTACTGTTTGAAGCTGATCATTGTTTTGTCCTTGAACATAAAGTCTGTACTGTGTCATCCATGAGCTCAGTGGTAGAGCATCTGACCGGTGGGCGGAATGTCATAGGTTAGACTCCTGTTGGGGGAACTTTGAACGTTTTTTTCCGTGTAGCTTGTGTCTCTGACTCTGATATCTATCTCACTACATTACTTCATTTTACAAATGAGACGACAAGTCATTATCACAGACATGGAAATTTTCTATTTATTGCATGAACTATACCCATTGCGAAAAATCGCTCATTACATTATACAAGAAAACTAAAGAAAATAAATAATGTTTACTAACTACACAAAGAAGTTTAATTAATGTCAGCAAACGGCTTCCAATAAGAAAAGGTAATGCACATTTCGTATTCATGCCACCTCGCTGTTCTCGTCTGAGGTTACTAGGCAACAGAGCAAATTATTTTCTTTTGCGTCATGTCAACGTAGAAATTTTTTACGAAAAATTAATTGTCCTCCAAAAGCAAGGTATATTTTCCAATGAATCATCATGATGTACAGCAAGAGAGGATCACCTAAGAGAAGGATTCCCCACGCCACATGGTAATTTTTTGAAATCTATTTATAGTTTCGTTGTGAAAGTTATCTTTATTTCCTTCTGATCGAGGCTCTGACATCACGTTACTCAAACCGACCAAATATGGTACATGTAGCTCAGCTGTGGACTAAAAGTTAAAAATAGATTTCAAAAAAATTATCACTGGTAGAGGCACATGTATGGTAGAATGCTTCTCCTAGATAATAATAATAATAATATTTGTATTTATAATGCGCTAATTCCATGTAAATATGATCAAAAGCGCATCCTCTCTTGTGTTAACTCTAGGCTTGCTCTAAGTAGAGATTTTTCCGATGTAATTCTAGTGTGTTTTGTCTAGAAAATAAAACACCCATCAACATGGAAGAAGTCTGAGTCAACTGTAACCTTGCAGAAACCTGGTATAAAGGTGAATTTCCATTGCGAACAGAAACTACACGCAAAATTCACTGAATCTGGCAAAACAGACATTCAACATTGCTTCCTGTTACTCAAAACACTCAGTTCTATTTCTCACTGCCTGCAGCAAAGAAAAATACATTTTAACAAAGTAAAACACGGAAAAAATCTACCTCGTTTCCAGGGTTTCACATCTCCCCACCCCAGAGGGTGCGAGGGACCCTGGGAACGAGGTTGGGAAAAAATCAGTCAAATAACTGTAAAATGTTATGAGGAGTCCCTCATTTTTCTCAGGGATAGTCAAGTGATTTTCGCGCTTGCTCGCGTGCTTTCCCATTCGACTATCCCTGAGAAAAATGAGGGACTGCTTGTAGTCTATAAAATGTCACTACAAGTTGTTATCACTAAGATTAAATACTTTTAATTTTTCCATATCAAATGTCCACTCTTCTACTAGAAAAACGTAATGAAAAATAATGTCTCAAATCACTCAATTAATTTTTTTTGTACACAAGCAAAATAAAAGTAGGGAAATAAAATGCAAAAAGATCATCAATAAATTATGAATAACTTCTGCACCTAGTCAAGACATTTGTCCATTTTTTACAGTTGTGTTAAGTTACTTGCCAGTGAGGCTAGAGTTGACTTCGTTTTGAGATATAGTATTAGGTTCACTACCATTCTTGTCAAACATCTTGGGGCACAATTGAACAACATTGGACAACAGGGAGAGAAGGGTGGAGATACTCCATTAATTTTAACTCTTTCACTCCCAGGGTCAAAACGTGAGTCAATAAATGTGGTTGTAGCTTTTGAGTCTGTGGACAAAACCCTAGTGTGTGACCATTCAATTGAAAGCTATTGAGCAGTACTTTTATGTGGTACTGTTTGTTTTTGACAATTTTGCAAAATGAAATTAAGATTTTTATCTCAGTTTTACATGTAACACTCTTGGTGGTGAAAGGGTTAATATTTATGTACAAAGTTCAAATAAGAGGTTTTTTCTTTCCTCACTTTTTACCGAGTGTCACAAGACTCAGTTTTGCAGAACATTGTAGTTTCTGATTTCTATCATCTCAAAGTCAACTTTAACCTCGCTTTCAAGTTGAGGCACGATAAAAAGACAGCTATTTTGCTGACTGTGACAACACCTTTTGACCTAGAGAAAGATTTCCCTTATGGTTTTAAGCAAAAGAAAAACGTTTTCTTAGGATATACACACTAATGATACAGTGGGATGCACTAATATTTAAGGTGTTCTAAAAGTTAAAGAATCAACGTCATGCAATTCAAGACTACATACTTGCCATCTTCTTTCAGTCTTACAGTTCTCTCTTTTCTCTCCAAGTATTCATGCGATGGGCAGTATGGAAGAGGGGGACTAGGGCAAAAAAAACTTGTCTCGCCCCAACCCCTTCTCATCTCAACTCTCGCCCCTTTGTGATTAATTATTGAGACAGAGAAAGGACTGCAGGCAGGCTACATTTCAAACCCCAAAATAACTTATTATAAATGAACTATTCATTTACAATGAAATCTCAACTACAGAGCAAAGAGGATTTCAGAGCACTATCAACCATATTTTCACACAAAATGACCTACATGTAAAGCTCACCTAAAGCTGACCTTAAGTCAGCCTGCCAGAAACTAAACTAAGCAATTTGCAATACCATTTCTCGGACAATCTTGTTTGATTTTGACCATGTGTACTCTTTTACAGGCTGGTTTCTAGTATTTCTGTTGTCCAACAGTTTCAAACCTTTTTCACTCCATTTTAAGACAAGTTTGTACAAAAATAATCACCAAGGTCAAATAGCATAACTGGGCACGTTCTGACTAATTTATTCACATAATTAGAGTTTGTACCTGGATTGCCCAGCCAGATAACAACTCAAGAGTTTAAAACTTGTAATAAATTAATTATTCTGTCCGTAACTGACATTTAGACAATTTTCTTACAATTTAAAATTTAATTTAAGCATTCTTGATTATCAGTCCCCATGCCGTATCATTACAGGGGTGTTACTAATGAAGTTGGCCAGCATGCATCCCCTGTGCCACTTCATTGACATAAGAGATATCCGGCCTCTGGTCTGGATCAGGATTGATACACAGGCTTACCAAGTCACGCAACTGCAAGGATTTACAAACTCAGTTACTTTTAACAACTGTAATATTACCAGCCTTGTTCCGGGGGTGGGGACCTGTAAGTAAAGAGGGTGGGAAGTCTATGGGGCGGAAATAGAGGGCAGGAGGTGGGGTTACCTAAAGTGGTGGAACTGAGTGAAATAGGAAAAATGTTTTGCAACATTGTGCAATACAGTTGAACCTCAGCTAACGGACACCTCCCTAAGGCGCACACCTCTCGTAAGCAGACACTTTTTCAGGCCCCAAGGGTGTCCACTTACGGGAGGTTCGACTGCATTTGATTTCACAATAGGAAAAGCACAAAGAGGTGGGGTTCTTTAAGGAAGGTGCAGGAATGATGTATGTTGAGAATGTATGAGTGAAAAGTAGTTAATGAAACTAGACATCTCTGTTCACACACTTAATTATTATCCCCCACTTCAAAAGACATCTGGGAGCTTATCGGCAGAGCTTATCCCAGTTTCTGTAGTGGTTGGGATGCTAGTCCATCCCAACCATTTTGTCAGGCTGCCCTGGCTAACAGTCCACCAGAACCCGATTTCTACTCCAGGCCACTGCTCCTCCCGCATCAAATTATGTAAGTTGTATGTACTGCATCATTATACAGTTGAACCCCGCTAACTCTAACTCGGTTAACTCGAACTCCCTGCTATCTCAAATTCAAACCCATTCGCCTTGCCTTGTTTTTCAGTCATTTACTATCGGCTAACTCGAACCCCCGCTATCTCAAATTATTTTTGTTTCCCTTGGGAGTTCGAGTTAGCGGGGTTCTACTGTATTATTAAATATTTATTTACCTGTTTCGAGTAATGTTCTGCCGGCAGAGGTGGATAATCACATGATTCTATCTTCTTACATAGTGAGTACAAGTTCATTTTATCACCATAGAAAGGTGACTGGAGGGCAGCCATCTGTTAAACAATAAATGAATAGTTTATTCACACATACAACATTTACCAGAGTTGCTTACGTTACGTACATGCAGCAGCTATAACTTACACTAAAAGCACAATAAAACAAAAACATCGAAAACAAACCATTCTACTTGATGCAATGCATGCAATTCTTGCATTACATAATAACAATAATAATTATTACATGATAGCAGTTGCAGAGAATAAAGAAATAAAATATATAAACAATAACCTCCATTTGGCACGAAAATATGTGGCTGTTTCTGCATAAGCATAAACTGGAGTTAATGTTTAGCTCAACTGAACCACAAACATACCTTGTGTTTGCTAATGTTTTTTCCCGTTAAGCGATCTAGCGTACTTTGTATTTCAGGCATGCTCCCTTTATCACACCTATTCTTAGCGCCCAATTACGTTTGATTGCGCACATGCGGTCGACCTGCCAGCCAATCAGCTTGCGAATGGCGTATCACGTTAATGCCCAAGTTCCACTACCTTCGGCAATCCCCACATTCTGCTCAGTCGCACGGAAAGGTTGACATATCTGTTCCGAGAAGCAAGTTGTGCGAAAACTGGATGTTCTCCAGTTTTGGCTGCATCATGTGATGTGTTTAGACCAAATACATATTACACATTACAGGGAATTGCAAACCATTGTTTTTACCTCATATAAGAGACAACCTAAAGACCAAATGTCAGACTTGAAATTGTATCCTGTTTCGTGTATTCTCTCTGGTGACATGTAATATGGTGTTCCCACTAATAAATGAAACAAATTGCAACAAGATCAATACTAGATGTCTAAAGTGAACTTTATCTAGTGCTGTAAGCATGTACATGTATGTACAATGTATGTACACCTGTAAAAGAGACGGGTACAAGGTAAAGTCTTCACAAGCCCACAACAGCTGGTGCTTATCCCGGTTTCCGTAGCATGAAGCTAACTAGGAGTACTTATCAAGTACTCCCCATGGATGGGATGCTAGTCCATCGCAGGTTACCCAGTATTAAATATTTTTGTTAGGTTGCCCTAACAGCCCACCAGTACCCATTCTCCTGAGTGGAGAGAGGCACTGTGAGAGT